CTTACTCTAATGAGTCCATCAAATATTAATTATATTAAATTCTTAGACCATCAACAATACTGTGATGATGTGGAGCAATACATCTAAACTATCTGAAAATGATAGTTCATAACTTCTCTCTGTATTTGAAATGAATGAAATGGGGGCAAAGAATTGATTGGATCCTGACTTGGTTCAACTAAGATCCTACTGAAATCATTGGAACAACATAGACAAGGCTTACCTTTAGTCCCATTTATTTCAGTGGCAACTAAGTGCAACTACTTTAAGCATATAGGTTTGTAATTATTTTTGAATTCTCTTTGCACTTACTGTTTCCCTAGGTAATATTATGAGAGACATGGAAATGAAAAACCAAACAGAGGTTGCAGAATTCATTCTTCTTGGATTCGGAGATCTCCAGGATCTACAGATTCCCCTCTTCCTGTTCTTCCTTTTAATCTACATTGTGACCATGGCTGGAAACATTCTCATCATTGTACTGGTTGTAGCTGATCGACGTCTTCACACCCCCATGTATTTCTTCTTAGGGAACTTGTCATGCCTAGAGGTTTGCTATAGTTCAACCATCCTGCCCAGGATGCTGGCCAGTTTCCTTTCTGGCAATAAAATCATTCCTTTTAAGGGTTGCATCACACAATATTTCTTCTTTGGTGGCTTGGCTGGCACTGAATGCTATCTTCTCTCTGCAATGTCTTATGACCGTTACTTAGCAATATGCAAACCCTTGCAATATGCAGCACTTATGAATAGCACGGTCTGTCGACATCTGGCTTGTGGATCTTGGTTCAATGGCTTTCTTGCCAGTGCCATAGTAACATTGTTTATGTCACAATTAACTTTCTGTGGCCCCAACATACTCAACCATTTCTTCTGTGACTCTTATACAATTCTAAAACTCTCCTGCAGTAATGCACAACTTATTTTTACACTAATATTCCTTCTGTGTTCTGCATTCACTCTTCCTCCTTTTCTTCTAACATTGACTTCTTATATCTGCATCATTTCAAAAATTGTGAGAATTTCATCTGTTGCAGGAAGACAAAAGACCTTCTCGACATGTTCTTCTCACCTCACTGTTGTGACCATTTTTTATGGGACACTCATAATTGTGTACATGTTGCCAGAAACCAAGGACCTGGTAGACTTGAACAAAGTCTTTTCTATGGGTTACACTATTCTTACACCTTTGGTGAACCCTCTCATCTACAGTCTGAGGAACCGAGAGGTCAAGGAGTCAATGAGAAGGGTTCTTCATAAGTGTTGGGTACAGCATGGGTTGAATAGAAACTGATTAAAAAGCAAACAAACACTGGGTATTCTGTCCATTCTTTTTGAAATGTTTTGTATGGGTATGTTTAAGATAAATTTATGGTTCAAAATTAACTAGCACCAGGAGTTCAGTTAGTGGTCTTTGGGAAATTAAGTCTTAGCACTTGTGATTTGAAACTGGGTTTTGGAACTCTTTTCAAAGAGGGACGAGAAAATAGTTTTGTTAATTCCAACTTATGATTCCAGGTAGGGCTCCCCCCCCCCAGCCAGAACTCACTGGGACTCAGTTCCAGCACCTCTCATGTGGGCACCATTGCCATTCTAAGAGAACAAAGGAGGTGTTCATGGTGAGTTCCGGCACCTCTTTTTCTAGAAAAATAGCACTGATTCCAGAAATATGGGGTGATTTGATCCTCTCTCCCTGTTAGCCCCCAAATCCCCTTGCCTTCAGCTGTCATAACAGACAGAATTTCTGATTTTGGGGAGACTTGTAAGAAACTGGTGCAAGGCAGGCAGGTGTAAATGAAGCCAGCATAAAGTTACAGATCCAAACCCAATAGGGCTGTTGCTGCTGCTCTGCTTGACAGAGGGGAAACAATGATTTAAGATTGTTTGCCAGGTAATGTGAATGAGCTAAATGGGCCTAAGATCCAGCCCAAATCCCTCTGGTCTCACCCCCACCCTTTGGGGGATTTACACCAACATTGGCTCAGCCAGCTAAGTCCGAATGAGTAAGCAGAGTACCTGTGGCTGAGCCAGGGTTGGGAATTTAACCCTAGTTGAACCCCACTGAACCAGAAATAAGATGGCTGATCCAGAGATTTACTACCTCCTCAGCTGCTCATCCTGGCATAGGATTCCCCCCCCCCCATAGAAACTCACTTCAGTTAAGTGTTTATATGGCTTTTGAAGGCAAAGCTGTTTGAAAATGAAAAATGAGAATGAACTGTCAATTTAACAAATACTCTGTAGTACTATTTGCTGTGGAAGGCAGAAACTAAGCCATGGGTGATGATTTTGCTGCCATCCTGTGGTCAGTCATGAGATAGTTGCCTATTGAATTGTACCAAAAATCAGAATTCCTTTGGATTGTTTTTTCATCACCTCAGCAACAGATTGTGTGGATTAGAAACTTTATTTGCATTAGCCACTAGCCATAGCAATCAGATAAAATATACTGGGGATAGAGCTAAATAGTTAGCTATAAAAAAAATACATTCTTGAGGTTTACATCAATACAAATGGCAGAACTGATACATGATCCTGTAGCCACAGATTGTGTTTGATGGTAAATTACTAGTGTGACTGTCCTCACATATCACTGCTGGTGGGAGAAACAAGACAGCAATAGATACTTGCTTATTGAAAGTTGGAGTTTTCAAACTAAAATTGAAAAATTCTGTATTTTGGTATAATCAAAATTCTGTATAAGCTCTTTGGAAGCAAACATGAATGCTCAAGAAAAAATTCATTTGGAGAATCCACTTATGAGACCAACAAAGTGGATTTGGATCAGACTTTGAACCAAAGCAGACTTTGACTAGTCTCATCACGGGCACACACAAAATTGCAAAATTGCAAAGTTTTGTTTATTATGCTTATGGTACACAATTTTTGTTCGCCTGGTACAATATGAAGAAATTAATCAGCAAATTCTTATTAGTACTTAAAACAGAAAAATCATACTTAACAGAAAAATACTTCAGCAAGGTAATATCTACCTTCCTTCCCATAACAACCGAGTGAAAAGTATTAAATTTCATAAAGCAAAATATTACTTTTTAATTTTAAAGTCCATTTTTAAATCTACTCTCTGTATGCTTTTAGAAACATCAGGAAAGTTTTTGTATGTAATATTATAAATGTCTTTTTGTAATTCATGTTCCCTGTATCCTTGATGACCTGTTGTCATCAATTCTGTTGCAAAACCTTTTTAAAAAATAATATGTTTTCTACAAAGAAAAGGTTAGGATTAAGAAAAGTGGAAAAAAAGAATACTCTTTGTGTGGACAGGCGGAGTCCCCAGATCTCCCGCGGTCCCCCCGTCATGTGGAATAACGACTCGAGACAACGTGCTATGGGATTAAATTGGCCACAACTTTATTAAATTTCAAATGTGGGTAGACCTTGGCTCAGGCATTGGGCGTTCTCCCTCCCCAGTCCCCAGCCGGGGACCTAGGGAGCATCAGGGTTATCCAGTGTGTGGGTGGGGGATGGGCCGGCTCTGGAGAACATATGTTCAAGCAGAGATAGCCGCCCCCATTACGCCGCCGCCGCAGGGGAGAGCAATGACAACCTTTCGGCGCACGGCCAAAGCCTCCCTTCAGAAACCCCTTTAACGGGGAACCCTGGTATCGCCGCCGCAAAGAGGAAGATGGACTAAAGGATTCCGCCCAAGGCCTGATACCGCCAAAGTTGTGACGTTTTGCTACGGGAAAGGCGAAACCTGCCAATTCAGGGAAATTCCTTTCCGGCCCTTTAACAGCGACCTTACGTAGCAGCGCCCGCATACCTGTGAAGAAAAGTTAACCTGCGAAACCTGTGAAGAAAAGTTAACCTGCAAAAGAAGACATTAACTGAGGGTGGGTAGGGTGGGAGAAGCTCTGGAACCAAGTGAGGATTCCCAGGTAAGATCCTCCCTCTATTGTGTGGGCAGGTAATCCCTCCCCTACCTGGCCTGGTCTCCTTGGCAACGCTTCCCCCAGGTGGGATTGGGCAAATGACTGTGGTAGGCGGAGACCCCAGGTATCCCACCTGAGGGAAGGCAAGGCCAAGCCTATGCTGTTGGAGCCGCTCCAGATCTAGGGGCTGCACGCGTCCACGCAAAGGGCGCCCCCCGTTTTAAGCGGGGAGCGGTCATTATAATACAAAGAAGAATGTGTTTTTAAATGTGAAGCAGCTGAGAAGGAAAAAGCAACATGCATGGCAAAATACAATCGCTATTGGGGGGGCAAACTTTTTCTTTAGAAAATATTGTTTTCTAGTGGAGACATTAGAAAGCCTCTCCTCCTTCCAGAGGGGAGGGGTTGTGACCGGGAGCCGATTCCCGATTCCCGCGTTCCGCCCCCTGCCCTGCCATCGTTGCTGGCGCGCCGTGCCCCCGGATGGGACCCAATAGGGTGACAGTGTGGGGGCGTGGTTTAGCCGCTCAAATGCGGCCGCGCCAGTTCTCCCCGCCATTGCGCTCCGATTTTCCTCGAGTCACCCACCCACCACTCCCTTTAGGGCATAGCTTCTCGCTTGACCTTGCTATGGACCTATGGTCGGTCGCCCTGGTTGCCTAGGGGGCCTGGTAGGAGTTTTTTCCAATTGGCAAATTGGCACCAGCCTCTTGGTTTTTTTCGCCTACCTCATAGCAATCGTCACAACTTTCTCGGTATTTGGCGGTTAGGCATTGGAATGTGTTGATGGTGTATGGAAGGGCAAGGTGTGGCCATCGCCTACCCCTTCACTTATGGGTATTCCGTTGAAGGAATCCGGCGGTCGTGGATCCTGTCCAATGCCCTGTGGGGCAGGGGGCCATGGCATGACCCCCGGTGATATCAGGGGAGAGGTTATAGTTGTATTTGCATCAACAGGCTCCCCTTACTGGTGGTTAACCCTCGTCAGACTCACCCCTCTCCGAGTGGGTGGAGTCATATTTGCGGTTGTCCAATGCCTAAGCCAATACCTCTCACATGCTGTAATCAATGAAGTTGTGGCCTTTTCTAGCCCATTAACCTTATATACTGTGTCCACGTGTCTTTGTTATTCCCAAGCGGGGGTCGGGTCCTTGAATCACAAGCATGCTGCAAAGAATCATGTGGTGCTGAGTAGCTCCCACTTAGAAAAGAGGCGAAAGGAAAATGTTGACCAGAACCTCCAAACTCAAAATTGGAATGAAAAGCTGTTAAGGAGCCTGCATGCTTTTCATCGCCTGCAGGATTCTTCCTTTGTTATTCCTCACGTTTGCTTTTGCTGCTTCTAGGAGGTTTTTGACCTCCTGCTCCTTGTAAGAAACTTTGAGGGTGGAATATTGTTCTCTCCATTCAGCTACTTTATCTTTAAAAGAAAGAGGATGTACATAAGCAAGTGCCTTGCTATTCACTTGGAAACACTTTGTATAACATTTAACCACACATGTTCTTCAAAGCACCTATTACATAAACAGATGGGGCAGGAACATGTCCAGCTTATATTATATAGGCTGAGCTATTGACTGTGGTGTTAGTGAGAACTCCAACGTTAATCCCAGCTGTCTTAAAAACAAAACAAAAAAACTTGTAAAACTTCAGTAGAACTTGAACATGGAATCTGCTCCCCTCAGTTTTATAGGAACATAATATTCCTGCTGCATCAGACCAAAAGGCCTATCTAGTCCAGCATCTTCCTCCCAGGGCGACCAATTATAACAATTATTGGGTGAGCCAATTTCACAAGGTAGTAATTTGGCTAGAGTTGCAAGATTTATCTTCCAGGGATAATCAGATCCAAGGAGATCATTAGACCACGCTAAACAATGAAATTTGTTTTTAATTGTCTGTAATGATCTTTCTGATGCCGTAACCTGCCCTGGGACCTTAGAGTGAAGGTCGGACAATAAATAAATTATCAAAAACAATAATAAATGCATGCCCCTTTCTAAGCAATCCCCAAACACAATATACCTTTGCAGTTCACTGTATTGAAGAGCGGGAAATGCATGACAGTTGGAGAATCATGTCCTTGGAAAACGTAGCAGTCATAGGGACTGTCTTTACTCTTGTCCAACTCTGAGACATCAATATCAGGAAAAGGAAGATGATTTTCCTTGCAGTATAGGACTGCTTCTTTGACAGTCTATGAAGAGAAGAAAATGCAGGAAAGGAATGTGGAAATTGTTGTCTGAGCAGGACACCCCACTGGCGGTTGTCCAGGAGAAAAATTGTTAGGGGTGTAAAATTTCAACACATGGTGCTGCCCCAATACTTCTGTCACTGGGCTCCATTGAAAATGGCTTCTCCATGTGAACCAGGAAGTGACCTCTCCAAACAATGGAACGACTCTTCTTATCTCTGGAGCTGCAAGCTCATGGGTGATGCGCATGCCAGTAGGCAGCTGGATGCATATATGTGCTCCATCCATTTCCTTCTCACAACCTCAGATGCTGGCAACCCATGCTACACCACTGGGGCACCATGGATGATTTGGCTCTGCAGGGAGATGTCACCTCTACACAGAAAAGACTTCTGATCTTTCCACTTAAAAAGAAGTAGGTATAGCAACCTTGATCAATGCAGGGGCCCAGATGCCTGGCCGCAACCCCACCCACCTGAAAAGGTGAGCAGACATACCAGCAATATCCAGGCACAGCAATTGTCTGTTGTCTAGACTAAAGCACCCTTACTCAAATTCTGGTGACCCATCAGAGGCCCAGTAGCCTTGAGTCACCTGTGTGGCTTATTACACTTTGTTTCTTCTTTCCATGCCCAGAACACCACTATACCTGCTATACTAGCCAACTAACAGAGACTTAAAGCAGGGACAAAGGCAGCCTTTCAGATTTCTGTATCTGGCATTTGCGAATCCACCCCTTTTGCATGTTCTTTTTTTGTCTGGCAAGAATGCTTCCTTAAACTCTGACAATGCTTCTGGCTTGACTAGATGGAGGCTGGAGAAGGATTTTGTGTGTGTGTGTGTGTGTGTGTGTGCGCGCGCGCATGTACAGGGGGAGGGGGACCCTACCATGTAAAGACAAAATTAATGTTTCTCATTCCACTTTTGCTACTGAATCTGCTCACTTGCCTTTTGGCAAGTGTAGTGTAGTGGTTGTAAAGCAGGTGACCCCTGAAAAGTTTTCTACAAGGGTATTTATCCCCTGAGCTGTAAAAAAACCAAAAAAGGTCACCACCTCATTTAAATTGAAGAAGGGAGAAAGAAACAGGGAGCAGCATGAATGGGAGAAAGAGAGGTTAGGGATTGTCTGGATAAATCAGGAATTATTCTCCAGCTGAGATATAATGTGCAGTATTCACTTTTTTCTTGGAGGTGAGCATTGCAAGGCTTTGCATCTCATCACCAATCCTGAGCCCAGTGAGCTTTGCTGCCAGCACGGATACGGTAATTAAGAAATGAAATCTCATCATGACCCAACACAACAAACCTACCTCAAAAGGATTTCCGCTGCTAAAGTCAAAGGAAAGAATGAGTTTCACTTCCCGTTCAGGACGGAGGACAAGCGGATAAGCAGAATTCATGGCTATACCAGCATCGGCCAAACGAAGTTCTTCCTTGCCTGTGAGATTCTTGTCATTAAGGCTGGCTAAGGGGAGAGAGTCGGGTATTACCTTGATAATTTGTTTTCAGGAGTTGTTTCATATGCATGCATTCCCTGCCATCTGGAGAGGTGTCAGGGCAAACTAGACGCAGTGTGTAAAAGCCTCTTGCACAGATTCTGGCCAAGTCTATACAACCCCGCCCTCCCCCAATGACCTGGCCAGCCCTATGTCCATTTTGTAGTGGCTATTTATTTTTGGCTGCTAAGCAGACAGTCTAATGCTTGCTGGGTCCCCCCCCCCGGGTACTCCATTTCTTTCTATTCTGTCCTCCAAGAAATTCAAAGGGCGTTTCTGGTTCTTCCCCTCCAAATGTATTTTTGTAAGTTGCTTTGAGACATTTTTGTAGAAAGTGATGAACAAATAAATACTAACACTATCATCATTACAATAATTAATGGTGTGTGCGGTTTTCCTTACAGTATTTGTAAGTATAGTTGGAGATGGTCCCCCATTTCCATTTGAAGAGGCAATAAACAGTTTTTGACAGTATTCTCAATGTATCCCATATACCTGCAAAATAAAAACTAGATTAGAAATGAACACAATGTCTGAGAATTATTATTATTATTATTATTATTATTATTATTATTATTATTATTATTACTTTTAAAACACATTGAAAGCATGTCCCCCCCTTCAAGAAATTTCTAATTTACCCCTTAGAGAATTTAAATTCCCATAAGCCCTTCACAAACTACAGTGCTCAGAATTCTTTTGAAAAAAGTCCTTAAATGTGCTTTAAATGCATAGCATATAGGCAACCTATATGGTGGCTGCTTCACACAGCATGTGGTCCAGCTCATCCCTGTTAGATTATCCCAGTTGTATAGAAGGCTACCAGTTATATAGAAGGTGGTAACTGAAGCTTAGCTACATATTAAATGCATATCAGTGTCCTAGGGTCCTTGCTTCCTTCTCCAGGCTTATTGCTTAGGACTACACACACATTGGTCATCACGTTACTTTCCCTGAACTCTGCCAGAAGGGGTAGGGATCTCAGTGTATTGCCAGCTACGTTCCTTCACTGACAGGGGATGAAAATGCCGGCATAAAGAGAGAACAGATAAGAGTAGAAGGCAGAGGGGAGGGAGAAGAAGCAGGGAACAGCCATAACTTGATCCCTGGACACAGGGAAAACAAAAGAGAGAGCCAGAGTGAAAGAATGCAATGTATAGGCTCAGACAGTGAGACAGACACAGAAATACAGGGATTGCCATCTCCAAAATCTTGTAGGATCACGAGACTGGCCGAGAAATGCGAAAAGGACAGGAAGTGAAGGTGGGGGTTTTCCTGTTGGGGGGAAGGGGGGCGGAGCTCAGTTCCAGCAACTGTGCTATCTGAGGATGATGGAGATTAGCGGAGCTCCAACCAGGGCTTCTTAAATTGCCTAATAAATTTGAATAATTAACTGCCGGAGCCATCTCGTGTGTGTGGGAGAGACCCAAGCCTTACATATGTCATGATTCATTCACCTAACGGTCCCAAAACACTACACCAATTGTAGGAAGTTGTGGGACTGCTGATCCCTGTGGTAAGTGTACAGTGGTACCTCGGGTTACATACGCTTCAGGTTACAGACTCCGCTAACCCAGAAATATTACCTCAGGTCAAGAACTTTGCTTCAGAATGAGAACAGAAATTGAGCCCCGGCGGCGCGGCGGCAGCGGGAGGCCCCATTAGCTAAAGTGATGCTTCAGGTTAAGTACAGTTTCAGGTTAAGAATGGACCTCCGGAATGAATTAAGTACTTAACCGGAGGTACTACTGTATCATGTAGCCCAGCTTTATATGATTGGCAAAGGTGAAAAATGAGAAGGGTGACACCTAGTCCTATTATGAAGCCAATATGGTGTATAATAGGTAAAGGTAAAGGGACCCCTGACCATTAGGTCCAGTCGTGACCGACTCTGGAGTTGCGGCACTCATCTCGCTTTATTGGCCGAGGGAGCCGGCGTACAGCTTCTGGGTCATGTGGCCAGCATGACTAAGCTGCTTCTGCCGAACCAGAGCAGCACACGGAAACACTGTTTACCTTCCCGCCGGAGGGGTACCTATTTATCTACTTGCACTTTGACGTGCTTTCGAACTGCTAGGTTGGCAGGAGCAGGGACCGAGCAACGGCAGCTCACCCTATTGCGGGGATTCAAACCACCGATCTTCTGATCGGCAACTCCTAGGCTCTGTGATTTAACCCACAGCACCACCCGTGTCCCATGGGGTATAATATATACTGATAAATGTGTGATCATTCAATGATATTTTGATTATTTTTATTGGGCATGACATTAATAATTTAATGAGTTGGTGGTTTATAAAGGCCCTTATAAATAGTGAATGGATATAAAACCATCTGTATACCTTATAATCTCATTTTCATATCTGCAGATTCTCATCACAAACCTTTGTGATATACAGATAATTTGCAAAATGTTGGTTTGAAAATGATTTATAAAACATGTGAATTACTTACTTCTCTTTGTTTCTTCGTGATGCGTGAATGGAGATGTCCTATCTGTCAAAAGCAAAGGATCATAGCATTGAGACTAAGGGATAAAATGCAATAAAACAGGTGCACTATAAGACATCTAAACTGTAAGATGGTTACAATATGCTTCTTGTAAATGGAGCAGAAGTTGATTAGGATTCCAGTCCTTCACATTTATGTAGGATCAAACTCCATTGAACACAGTGGGGCTTATTTTTGAATAATAATGTGCATATCTAAGATTGCTCTTTAACAGAGTTCTTTGGAAGTTTGGAAATTCATAGCCACACTTGCCTGCAAATTCTTGAGTAAACATGTCAGCCAGGGTCAAAAACTGTGCCACTCTTCCAGGCTTGTCTAGAGTGTTGTGTTTGTCCTTCAATAAACTGAGGAAGTTGTAGGTGTTGCTGCCTACTTGATCTATCAAAGAACGTAAGATGAGACTGGAATAATGAAAAAGCATATCCATCTGGTCTAACCAGATTAAAATTAAGTTTCACGAAACTAAAACCTTTGTAACACTTGTATTTCACATTTTTGAGATTTCAGCCTTCATTCTCAAATACTCCTCCTCCAATTATATTTGGAGGAATTCCAGTATAGGGAAGAATTGCACTGCCACCTGAAGTGAAGGCACAAGACAGTCGTATGGTATCAGGGGTACCAACCTGCATAAAATATTGAGGGGGCCCAAGTAAGCCCCACCCCACATAATTGATCACATGAATGGCAATTGATCATTTGAATGGCAATGTCCATCAAATTTGGGGAGGGTGGCCCCCTCAAATATTTTCTTGAGGGGTGAAGCCCCCTTGGTCCCTAGGAATTGGCTCCAATGTATAGAACAAATATGTCTCAACTTTATTGATTAGCCTATAGAGGAGGGGTAGGGAATCAGCAGCCTTCCAAATATTGTTGGAATCTTACTCCTATGATCCCTGGTCAGTCTGCGTGAGGCTTTGAGGAGCTAGGGTACAACAACATCTGGAGGACCACAGTTTCACCACTTTGGTAATACAGTGATCAAACTTACTAAAGACTCAGCTACCTGCAGGCAACTCCTCCCTCTGTGTTCTCACATGAGCAATGCCACCCAGCAATGGGCCTGATGTGGGTTTTCTATTGGCAACTTACCATGAAGATGAACGGAGGGGACTCCTCTAAATCCCCGCCTCACACGCACATACATAGATGACAGCACATGGCAGAACAATGGTCCCAGGAGCACCTGTCAACACATACCCTCTTGAGCTGGGTGGCAATGCAAGGTTGGCTGCTCAAGAACCCTCTACTTAATTGGTGCCTACAGCAAACCTTGCAGGGAAACATTTTATTTGCCTGCATGGTTTGAAATGAAATTACACAGACCGAGGAAAATGCTTTACCTGACACCGTGGCATTGCCAAGTGATTGTCAGGTGGTTGCCCCTGCCCACCTGCCAAAGTGTCCCCTGAGTGTCAAAGGAGATCTGAATCTAGCTGGTTGGTAAGATTCAATTCTCCATCATTGATTTAAGTCATGGGTACAATTTTCTGCCATAATCATAGTCCTAATCACACACACTATACACTTTGAAGGGGTTGCTGGGAGCATGAAGATCTGTGTAGGAAAAATAGACACCAGTCATTCCTCAGCTTCCTCTTACCTTTAAGAAGTTCCATGATGTTTGTGATGTTTTCATCCTGATGTTCATGTGTCGTCCCTTCCATGGCATGAATCAGGAGCTTTATTGCATGTGAAGCTGCCTGACAATATATACAGTGACAACTGGAAGCTTCAAAAAGAGCCCAAAAATGCAAGCAACAAGAAAGGAATAAAGCTGGTTGGATTATTCCAAAAGTTAGGATGCAACATATTGTAGGGAATGTGACACCAGATGCTGGCTCTAGTCAAGAAGCCCCAGCTCCTAGATGTCCCATCCTTATGTCACTGCTGGAATAAATGTATTGCCTATAAGATAGGTGAGCCATGACATCACTGACAGATTTCTCCCTTGGGAAGGAAACATAGCAATAAATAACACCTCAATTCAAAAAGTTGTGCAAATGCACCTTAAATCCATTTCTTTCTGCAGCCTTTTCTAACTACCCTCCTCTAAACCTTTGATAGCTATGGGAAATGCAGAACTTGTCAGGGTTTCTATAGTATTGGATAACCCTTGCTGAAACACAGCCATAAGTCAAATGCAGACTTGCTTTTGCATAATACTTCAGGAGACAGCGATACTTATCTTCCAGCCCAACAAATCTTTCCTGATAACAGAATGTTTTTCTAACTTAAATAGTGGCTAAGGCTGCTTCCACACAGGCTGACCTTCCTACCTTTGACCCTTTTTTTCTGAAACTACTTTCCATTTTGTGTAGAGCAAACATGTGCATATAGGTTTGCAAAGTTCCTGAATAAAGAAGGCATCAACAGATGTATCCTTTTGAGACGGGCTGATGGCAAAAAATCCAAGCAATGTCAAGGATTTACCTGAAGCTTGTTCTCCCAGATGTTTGATATAATCTGAAAATGTGAGAAGTACATTATATTTCCATAGCTATAGGAATATTTTATTAGATGGGGAATCTGTGTTCCTCCAGATGTTAATTAGGCTGCATTTTCCATTATCCATAATCATTGGCTATGCTAGCTGGGGCCCACAGGATTCCCATCCCTGTGGCAGAGAGAAGAATTGTGGTCAGGGTGAAGTGGCCCAGAGGAGCAGGGGACCATGGACCCAACCACTCCCCTCAAAAAAAGTGTTGCTGTGTACTAATACAAGTTGTCAAGTGTTGGCAAATTAAGTGAGGGCAGTCTGGCCGCAGTAGCATGTTAGTGTTGTAAGGACATAGAAGACCAGAGGATTTTCTTCAGGGCTCCACATAAGCTACGCAACTACTTCCAAGTGTGCACACATGGGCTGTGCCTTTGGAATCCATACCAGGAAGGAACTTTCCCTAACTGGGTCCAATAGGCTAAACATACAAAACCTTCTATTTCCTTGACGTCTTCTTTGCGATCTGCAAATGAACTTCCCCATAAGCCTGAAAGAGAAGGAAGGAAATGGAAATGACATTTTCTAGGAAATTTGCAGGACAGCACTATGTTTAGTGGCATACATTAATCATAATTGTATGCCACTAAACATAGCAGAGGGAACATGCTCGGTTCAGTGTGGGAAGGTGGGGAATCACTGAGCATGTGAACTAGTCTGAGGTTTGGATACTGCATGAATCTGTCGTGTTGCTGCCTCTTCCCCCTGTCAAGCCAGCAATACCTCTCAAGTAAGAAATGTCTTTTTCATTCTTCAGTATTCTCAGCACACCGTTCTCAAATGTGCTGCCCAACAGCCTCATGTCAACAAATGCACCAGAGTGAAAGAATCCAGCATCATGGGGTGTGAATTCAAACCAGATACCTTAAAAAAGAAAAAGAAAATCAGTGTCAGAAAGTGTGGGAAGCAATTGCTTACACACATAGACTTCTTTTGCTGTATCAGCTTCTGTATTTGTCATGTTTCTTTTCAACGTCTCACAAAAAGAAATTTCAATTTAGTTAATTGGCTGGCTATGTTCTGTCTCCATTCTGTCTTAAGCATATGCGGCGCCGGGGTGCAAAGATCCACCCGGTGCCCCCCCTCCCAGCTTGCCCAGTCCCAGGTGTGCAGGAGGGTAGAGCCAGCCGGCCACCTCAGTGTCTCACTGGCTTGGTTGCCCCCGAACTCGTGGCGCAGAGCTGTCCGTAGCAGAAGAGCCTGCCGCGGTACTCCGACCGGCGGGCGGGCTCTTCCCAGACTCAACTCTCAGGCCCTGGACTCTCGGCCTGGAGCCTCTGAGAGCCTGGAGCCCGGGTGCCCCACACCCCTAGTGCCTATGGGTAAGACGGCCCTGCTTGGAGGCATCTGTTCAGCCTCTGTGAGAACAGGATGCTGTTCCTGGTAGTCCTTTGGTCTGTTACAGAAGGACTCATCTAATGTTCTTATGTTAGTTCAGCCCATTGTCTGTCAATTGCATTGATCCAAAGGCGGCCTCCAATAACAGTTGCACATGCTCCTTGGATAAGTTTAACACACATAGAGATTATTGTTGGAAGAGTATAAAAGTTGGGTTATAGGCTATCTTAATCAGGCTCCAAGGAGACCCAATGGACAGTGATTTCAAGCACAGAGAAGACCCACGAACATATGGATAAGATCCAAGCCCTTTTAAGTTGTATTGATTTCAAAGGGAACATTAGGCATCATGAGAAATGGCCATATATAGTTGCTGATTTGTTTTGTTTCTTACCTGGATGGGTTTTACTGGTGTCATCTAATTTGTTTGAATCCACCGCTGCATAGATGGGGTAAGGAACTGCCCCATTAAAAGAGACCATCCTTTCTTTGGACAAATGACCATAATCTAGCTGTAGAGAAAGCGACTCATTAGTGAGGGAGAATATCGTCCCAATGCAAATAACAGATTCAGAGAAGGGATTTTTCCCAGTTCCAAGCAAGGAAGGCAAGTGTTAAGTTCCTCCTCTGTACCTGTGGTAAGTTATAAGCCCTGCCAGCTGATCCTATTTGCATTTAACAATAAACAAATAACATTTTGAAAGCAAACACATTTTTTGATCTTATGTGTAGCTTGACACGCACAGTTGGCGAGAGCTAGCAGGATTATAGCCTGAGATAAGTTGCTATTCCTACTGAGTATGTCACATTTAGAACAGCAAAACTTGGGTACTTCTGCTATGTACCAAGAGGAATCAAAAGGCTCTGGACTACCGTAGATTTTATACTGTATTTTATGTTGCTTCTATGTTGTATTACAATTAAGTGTTTTAAATTTGTTGTTAGCCGCCCTGAGCCCAGTTTTTTGAACCAGTAAGGGTGGGGTATAAATAAAAATTTATTATTATTATTATTATTAGAGTAAAAATATACGTTGCTTGCCATTTTTGGTGGAATGATGGAAAATCTCTACAAGGCTTCCTGTAGGCAGTGCCTTGCTGACAAGCTGCACCATAAACTGCACCTGGATCTTCCTGCAGCCTCTAAAGCAGTTTACTATGTGATCTGGAAGTGGTTGTGTTGCAATTGTGGTTTCTTAGTGGGGAAGAAGGAACATGGGATATACAAAAAGAGTTGGACTGTGGAATAGGTGTGTATGTTTTTTAAAAAGCTTTTAAAAAGCATATACAATGCTTTTCAAGTCTCCCCCCCCCAAAAAAAAAACAACCCAACAACAATTCCGTGCAACCACAAAGTATCTGTGGAAAGGAGGTAGTATACTTGCCTCATGCAACATTGCATAGAGAATGACACTGCCCCAGAAATCGGTCAAGGAGTATGTCTTCTCTTTACTTGGTTCTACAAGGGCATCCAGGGATTTGCTGGGATCCCACGACTGATTTACAAGATTGTCACACATCTTTGCTTCCAAAGTAGGAAGCTTTCCCAGCCATTCCTCATGTTCATAGATGAATGACATACACCTTGGAGAAAAGGCAAAGCATCGTGAACAAAGCTTTGAAGAAAGACTTTTCCTGGAGGAACATTGCCAATCACTGTAGATTATGCTGAGATGGATATACCAAAGGCCTGAATCAATATGATACAATTTAGCATGTTCCTACGTTGGGCAGAGCTTTATCAAATCCTTTAGCCATTAGAGACAACCTAGGTTCCTACTTCTTCAAATGGTTATGCCAGTCATCACTGAATATAGTTTATGTCCACTTACCAGGTAGAACCTGATACTCCACAGAGATACATCACAGCACCCAACAAATCCTCTTTCTGAAGTTCTCCCAGAACCCCTTGAAGTGCAATCATGGCCCGCAACCCTCCACCAGATCCTAACAGGGCAACATTAGGAACAGAACTCTAGGGAAACGGGGAAAGACAAATAACTGTCATATTTTGAAATATCTAATCACAAATACTTTTTACAATGCAACACCAAGCGGTGAAGCTAGAAACAGATGGTGCATGGTAGCAGAAGACATGGTGCTATATTGGTGCTTTCCTAACCTGCTGTTTAACACCCCTCTCTAGCCACCTGTAAGCAAAAGCAATTTGATCAACAGGGAGTCAGGAGACTGCTGCCATCCCAACCTGCTGTCTGCTACTGGTGAAGTTAAGTTCTGTAGGGAACAGTATATTCTCTTCCTTCTTGAAATATTGATTGATTGTGTAGCTTTCGGAAGAACAATGGGAAATTAATTGCTGTTAGTTATTGCAATTTAAGCTTCCATAACTCAACTCTACTGTATCCCTAATTTCCTCTCCAAATTCTGCTTTCCGCCATCTTCTCTCCCAGCCTCCCATGTTTTAGCCACCCACCCACTCACTTTGCCTTTTGTCTATTCATTTTTTCAAGCCCCTTTGCCTTGGTCATTTGCCTGTGTTGTCCATTTAGAGCACCTGAGCAGCTCAGCCAGTGATAGGCTGCCCCCTTTCCCCAAAATATCAGGGCTTTATGTACATCACTGCCAGAGATTGTGTCGCTATTATCCAAAGTGCGAGCACCGCCGCATCCCTTAAGCATATTGCAATATAGACCATTAAACTTTACCATGGTGGTGTTGACCCCAAGCTTCAGAAAAGAATTGTGCACTTTGATTTTTCTTCTGCCAACAGCTGTTTTTTCTTCATCAGATACATCTCTGGAAATCCGGATCACATCACTAGTTTAAGAATAAAAGTCAACCATTTCAAAGTTGCTCATTCAAGTGGGAGTCTCTACCCCAGTCATTTGTGGAGCACATACAGACAACCCGCCATTTTGTGCTTCAAGTTTCATAGAAACATAAAGTCCACTCACCCCTTCCAGGTGACATGAAGATTGTGGCCCCGTGCCAACCCCGCCTCCATCCTCATTTCCACGGCTTGGTCTCTGGCTGCAGCGGCTGTCGGGAGGTGCTACAGCCTCTCCCCCCAGCCGCAAAATTCAAATTTGTTTGTCTGCAATTTTGGACCAGTCATGGGTTGGCTTGAGAGTGTGGCCATAGAGGGTTACACTCATGGAGTCTTCGCTCAGGTCCACTCCCCAGAGATAAAAGCCTTTGCCCAGGACTGCAGTCGGCATCAAAGTAGGAGAAATAGTCACACTACCAGTGAATTTGTTGGTCCTGCCCAGCTTCTAGCCCCCTACAGCACCACTGAGTAACCATGTGGGAGAGAAAGCCACTGCTTTAGTGCTGGTATCAGGGTGTGTGTGTGTTTTGGGGGAGGAGCATGGGTGGGATAGCACAGTGTCAATGATACCACCACCACCCAAATGAGGGTAGAGTAGGGTAGATGGGAGCTGAACTTGGCTCACATTCAAAAGTGGCACCACCATCTGCTTCTGAAAGCATTTGAGGACCTGAATGGTGGTGTGGCTAGGTCAGCCTGGGGAGAGACCTCTATGACCTTTTGGGCAGTGCACAGCCTGGCTGGCTGCTGACAGGCATGCACCCCCATCCTTCATGATTACTTCTGAGTGGGCTTACCTGGCACGATCTCCACTACTACCAGATAAGCCAGCAAGTGTGAGGGCAAGATTGCAGGTGTGGTGGTAACTGGTAGCAAGTATTGAGGAGGCTGCTGAACACTGGTGGGGAAGCTGAGAGCAATCGTCCCTGGGGCCCTGCAAAATCTGGAGCTGGGCCTGCTTAAAAGCAAGCTCCTTGGACACCAGCAAGAGCATGTTTCAAGCTACTTTCTGAGACAGCTGTATATTTTTCATGTCCCCCAGTATTTACAAGAGTGTCAGACAAAGTTAGTGAACCCTTCTGCTACATCTCATGCTAGAGAACAGTTCTGAAGTTAGGAAACATTTCTGCAATCCTACAGGGTTTCCCCTTTGTTTTTCACAAAGGCAGCCCTCAGTTTCTTCACACAACCATCGGTTTTGCAAGAACAGTTCTGGTAATCGTTAGTTAGCAAACAACATCTGGATAAATATTACCTTTGGTTTGACCCAGGCATACATAACCTGTGACCTTTCGAGCTGAGTGAAGTTCAATAGACATGCTTGACAGTTCAGAAAGGCTATATTGGCTGCCTGTGTGGGGCTGCAGAAAGGGGATTTAAGCACTCAGAAGTCCACATTACTTGAGGAAGCACCATAGCTCAGTAACAGAGCATCTGGATCTCCTGCATACGTAGCATCTCCTGAAAGGGCTGGGAAAGAGAACCCTCTCTAAAAAGTCTGGAGAATCACAAGTTGGTCAGTGCAGATTAAATGTGGAGGCTCCTCAGCTGTCGAAATCTCGGGCGGGGGGGCTTGCAAATTATCTCCTAATGCATTTTTTGTTTTACCAAGCAACAATTTTAATAAACCAATTTCAAAATCAAATTAATATTATTTTGATCTGTTGTCATGGGGGCCCCTAAATGTTCTGCCTATCTGGCACTGCACTAAGCTAGATGGACAAATGGTTTGACTCAGTAGGAGGCAACTTGCTATGTTCCTATCACTGACTGGTGAGCTGTGTTTTGCTTGATGGGACCCACGTTGTACTAGCCATGCACCATCCACTGTTACACAGTTTCCCGCTTCAAACATTAGTGCATGCATAATGAAAGCAGGGGGCTCCAACCCAAATATATGCAGGTCCACCGCAGAGCCAGAAAAAATCCCCACATACACAAACCATGCATACAGCTGAATGCACAGAAGGAGTACTCTCTGACCAATGACATGCATGAGTAGAGCCAGTTCAGAGGAGCATTCCTGCCATCTGATCGTGCCCCTGACATCCTGTGGGTTCCCCAGTATCAGCACCCATCCTCAGTGGGATCACCAGGAGTGGTGGCAGCCAAGCAGAAGTGCTACGAGCTGCAAGGGAGGGAGGCTATGATCCACCCAGCTTTCTCTGCTTCCCAAGCAGACCTTTTCTTGCAGCTCTTCACTGCAAGGTAAACTGCAACCGGTGGGCCCAAACCAGACAATATGTCAACACTGGCTGACCTTCAGCACCTGCAATGAATTTGAACTGTTTTGCCTTACCTTTGTTTAAGAGACAAGCTTTCTCCATTAATAGCCTCGTTTTCCTTTAATAAAGGAAGAAACAGAAAGAAAATGTGAGTCTATAATGTTTCAAAAACGGGGTGTGGGACATCAGATCCTGAGGCCTCAAAGTTGCTCCCCAGGCCTCTCCCTTGACCCCAAACTACACCCCACTCCTTAGCCACCCTTGCTCTTCAGACACACCCTTCACTGCCCTCCGTCAGGTGGTTATTGCCTTGCTGGACTGTGTCATTAACTCTGATAAGGCCTCTCGCTTGCCTGGAGGACGGAGAGGGGTTGTGTGCAGAAACGAGCCACTGTACAAAGGCACAAATTGAAATGTGTTGATATTTTGTCTCTGGCCCTACCTACCACTGTCATGTGGCCCCCAGAAAGTTACTTCAAAAGGAATGTGGCTTCAGGTCCCGTTCCCCCCCCCCAATATACTTAGTTTCACCAATCCTTCTTGTGCATTGACAGTGCCATGTTGATTTCTTCAGGAATGACATCCTGCTAATGAATTTGCTGTTGTAATATAGGATTGGTTGTTGCTTTTCTCTCCCCTTTCTTGATCCGCTACCCAGGTTTTGCTCACTTGCTTTGTATTTCATTGTTTCACATAAAATATGATTTCATGTTTTTTAAGGTCTCTAACAATTCAACTGATTTGGAAAACAAGAGGGAGAGGAGAATGTTCCATAATGGATAGATTTCTTACCATTTCTCTTCCTGCTTTGTTTATTGGGTAACCCACAGATTTCAGTGTTTTCTGTGACAAAGAAACAATTTCACAAAGTCTTCAGCATTTGTCTTATAGGATGTTTTCAGATGACCAATTTATTGAACATTCATACTCATTTGTTTTCATGGAAGTTAGACCATGGATTTGCACTGACTTGTTTCTTCATTAATTTAGAGGAGTCCACACGACATCTTCCTCCTCCCATTGTTGTCCCATACCTTTCCCCCTTTAACTGCAGACATTTTTGCTCCATGGAAACTTCCAAAATGACTAGGTGATGCACGCTTATCATTAGGACAGGGGTGGTGGTGGTGGTTTTGCCCTGATTTTCTTTTGGCAGCTCTTACTTCCCTTTGTTTTACCTTAGTTAGTCATCATGTAAATTTCGAACAAGGGGCTGCTTCTGAAGGCTTTTGCTCTGATCTTCTGATTTACGCTAAACTAATCAAGAGTTGAAATGACTATTGCACACAAATTATTATTTATATCAAAGGAAAATGGAAGATAGAGAAGGGGATTCAGGTCAGCTGCTTTTTAGCCATTGCCAAAGCTTGGAAAGTGAAAAGGGAGGTAAATGTCCTTCTGGGCTCTGCAGCCACTAAAGAACTGTTAATTTAAAGCTTCTCTCCTCCTCCCGCCTAAAAAAAAAAAAGTGAACTAATTTGTGCACAATTGGGATTGAGTTGAGCATGTGAATGGGTCCTTCTTTCATATATTAGCAGGCTGAAACATTGCTGCAAGAAAACATGGGGACTAGAAGCAGGAGGACGGGTGTATGGCTTAGCTGGTAGTTGGAGATAAAAATTTGATGGAAATAAACTGTTAAAATGTCTCTTGCTGGTGACCCATCTTCCACTTCTACTCAAATGGCTGAGAAGCAGCTGGTCACAAGAAGTGGGAGGGAGGGAAAAGGACATGAGGCTGGAAATGGGGAAGGGTAAGGATCTGGAAAAAGGAGCAGCAGTAGTCACCCACCCATATCACCCCAGCCCTAAAACCTTTGGGATGATTGTGTAGAAATAAAATGATGTTGCAGCTATGAAAGCAACCGCATTTCTCAGCCTCGGTATTTTATTAGGAGAATCTTGCAAAAATGTACACTTTAGTCAAAACAGCAGACAAAAATGTGCTTATTAGAATAAATTCACACTTAAATGCTAAAGCATTTTCATGAGGGGTTTTTTAATTAAAAATCATCATAATTTGCTGTGGAAATGTGGTGAACTAAATTTAACATTGGAAAAACTGGAAACTGAAAGAACTTAATTTGACAAAGAGTGTGAGAAAAGACCTCTTGTATCAAGTCAATCCTTCTTCCCACAGTTGTCATCCAGGTGTGTCTTGGAAGCTCACAAGCAAAGCGTGAAGGCAATAGTCCTCTCCCTCACTGTTGCTCACCCATAATCTTTAAAAACTCATTGGGTGATGACCATGGGATTAGCTCTCTGTATTAACAACCTTACAGATTGGTGGTGGGATATAATAACAAACACACAAGCATGCAGGATGAATTTGTGTGTGAGTCTAACAGCACACTTGCCATCTCTGTGGTGGTGGCTGCTCTCTTATTATAAGAGAATAATAATTTTAAAAAACCCTCCGATATCATTGTGTATAATCCTCTATTTGCTTGAATCTATTCACGAGGAAAGACAGCAATAAGAAAGAGCTGTACTTACATTTCTGTCCTTTGGAGACGGAGAGTTGGATGGACCACGGTGTTCACCTGGGGTTCAGTGCAAAGATTCTCCACTCGGCCTGGATAGGTGTTGTGGAACAAGGAAGATATGTGATTGCACAGAGGACCTGAGTCATTTCATGTCTCCAGTGGCAGTAGTTTCTTTACATATAAGGTAAGAAGTTTTGCAATAGTTTCTGAAGAGTGACGAGCTATGTGCGTATTCATGCATCTCTTCCACCAGCACTTATTTACAAGGGGCAGCCCCCTTTTTTTCCTGGTAACTGTCTTTTCAGGTAACTGCAGTTTCTTATTTGTCCTTTTTTATCTCTGGGAATTAGTTGGGGATTATAGAGTTTGACCTTGAAGTTATATCTTTAAGGTGTGTGTATATCAGGGTGTGTAGGGACGCGGGTGGCGCTGTGGGTAAAAGCCTCAGTGCCTAGGGCTTGCCGATCGAAAGGTCGGCGGTTCGAATCCCCGCAGTGGGGTGCGCTCCCGTTGCTCGGTCCCAGCGCCTGCCAACCTAGCAGTTCGAAAGCACCCCCGGGTGCAAGTAGATAAATAGGGACCGCTTACTGGCGGGAAGGTAAACGGCGTTTCTGTGTGCTGCGCTGGCTCGCCAGATGCAGCTTTGTCATGCTGGCCACGTGACCCGGAAGTGTCTCTGGACAGCGCTGGCCCCCGGCCTCTTAAGTGACATGGGCGCACAACCCTAGAGTCTGTCAAGACTGGCCCATGCGGGCAGGGGTACCTTTACCTTTATATCAGGGTTGTATCTTGTTCTTTGTGCATTGCATGTATACATATAAACTAGCAGTCACCATTTCTCCCCAGAAGCCCATCAGAATGATGCTACCGCATGCTATTCCAGTGTTGATGTCATGTTATCCCAATGGCTGGAGGGGGGGGGGAGTATGGCAGACACAAATGGGCAACTGCCAGGAGAAAACACCACCGCTACCAACAGTAAGCTCCCCATCTTTTTTAAAAATATTACTCTCCAC